TGTGCTCGGCTGCTAACTAAAAGGTTGGCGGTTTGATTCCACCCACAGGTGCCTTGGTAGAAAGGTCTAGCGATCTACTTCTGAAAACATCTACAGCCATTGAAAAAATTTTGGTCCTATCCTCTCCTTGAATGGTAAAAAATGATTGTATTATGTGCAGCCATTCTACCAATACCCTTTATAATTGTGAATGATATTATTATATTCATATTCTCATGAACATGAGTATCTAAGTGGCCCCAAACTCAAATGTCTGAGTATAAAGAATTGTTATTTATGAAAATTAGGCCAGGTCACACATTCAACTTCAGTTATGTGTGTTTTGGTCTAACAGTGAATTCCGAGGAATAATTAATACCTACAAGCCAATGAAAGTTAACATTATATGTTCATTTCCCAGCTCAAAGAATCACCTGGAGAGTTTTGTTTGTTTGCTTTGTTTTGTTCTGTTAATTAAGCCAACCCTGAGTCTCACTCCCAGAAATTTTAATTAAATTGCTTTGGGGTGAGGCCCAGGTGATGTGCAACCAGCATAGAGAACGCTAATTTATAGCCAATGAAATAGGTTTCCCATCAGACATCAGCAGAGAATAATTTCTCACTAATATAGATGCTTTATATTCCTTATAATGCAAAGGTTTCTGAATTAAGATAGGATTTTCTACCTCCAATTTTGTTAGGACGAAAAGCCCATCAGTCTGTGCATCCCCTGGTGATGTGACCTAAGGCAAAGTCTCAGGAGTTCTCTGAGCCTAATTCCTCCCCAGTCTACTAGAGTACCTTAACGGCCCCAAACGGGAACGCCCGAGTATAAAAGAGTATTATTTCGTTGAACCTCTTTAAATTGGGCCAGGTCATGCATGCGGCTTCAATTATATGTTTTGAGGCAAAGAAGTGGTGATACGTGTTGTCTCCTTGATTAAGTCACACAGGCAGAGCCTGACACTACATCAGGGCACATGAAGATCAAGCAGAGGGCTAACCTTCGGTCAGCATTTGGGTGTGTGATACCTAGACTCTAGTTCCCACCCACTCATTCACCCACTCATTCATTATCCCCATATGCAACTAACTGTTTCTCATCTCAGAGACTTTGAGCAGGCTTTTCCTCTGTCTCGAATCCATTTCTGCCTTCTCTACCCATCTCCCCTAGATACTTCCCACTCATCCTTTGAGACAGTTCAGGTCTCTGCTCAGGTGGCAACTCTCTTAGAAGCTATTCCTGACATTCAGAGTGGTTGTATAATGAAGCTTAAGTTTTAGGGCTTCTCACTTGCATGGGTCCCTTCCAAGGCCCTGCGAGGGGACCTAGCAATGTATTCATGTGGCCATAATTTTTTAACAAAATTTGTAGAAGGAAGGTATTTTAACTATAATTGTTTGAGACTGTCTACTCTGATTTTTCCTCCATCACACGTCATGTATTGGAGTCACCATCAACATTTTTGGGATCAGAGTACATGGATATTGAGTTTGGAATACATTTAGTTTGGGTTTAGTAGAATAATATATTAATGTAGTTGTGAGTATAGGAATGGTGAATCAGTCAGGGTTCAGCCAAGGAAATAGAACCAGCAGGAGATATTAGCAGATAGATAGACAGATAGATTAAGCCAGGCCTACCCAGGATAATTTCTCTTCCAACTGATTAATTCAGGCCCACTCAGGATAATCTCCCTAATTTAGAATCAACTGATTGTTAGGTGCTGTCAAGTCAATTTTGATTCATAGCAACCCATTAAGACAGAGTAGAACTGCCCCATAGGGTTTTCTAGGCTGTGATCTTTATGGGAGCAGATTGCTAGGTCTTTTCTCCTGCAGAGCTGCTGGGTGGGTTCGAAGCACCAAACTTTCAGTTAGCTGCAAGGCGCTTAACCATTGCTCCACCAGGGCTCCTTGTCAGCTGATTACGGAAACCAAACCCGATGCTGTCAAGTTGATTCTGACACATAGCAACCCTGTAGGACAGAGTAAAACTCCTGTATAGGGTTTCCAAGGAGCGGCTGGTGGATTCGAACTGCCGACCTTTTTGGATAACAGCTAACCTCTTAACCACTGTGCCATTAGGACTCTTGTCAATTCATTGCACTACCTACATTAGTATTTCACTGAAAAACTGAGGACTGTAGTTCAGCCTAGTGAAGCTGACACGTGAAAAAGCCACATCACAAATGATTTCTAGTAATATGCCTATCATCCACTGTGCCAAATCATCCAGTCTTGACTGGAAGGTTGAGGAATAAAGCTTATACAGAAGTATGAGTATATCCCAACTTACCCAGCACCAAAGTAAGTGAGAATTAGAAGAGAACTAAGATTTGAAATATGTGAAACCAGAAGCTAGCCTGTAGAATTTCTTTTGATCACCAGAGAGTAAAACAATGTAAGTGGAAATTTCAATTTTCATCCATGCCTAGTCAAAATAGAAAGTCTAGATAATGTAACATATACAATTATAAAAACACCACGCTTTTTTTTTGATGGGCATTAGGTATTGGAGCTTTATCAAATATGCCTTTTTAACCGTAACTTTAAAAAAAATTTTTTTGGAAGATTTCGATAAAACAATTGAGAAATTCTTCTATAGATGTTGGCAGATTTGGATGTACTACAAATGTATCTTATTTTTCATCTTTAAATTTATTTATTAAAGAACTACAATAAAATGCAAGTAAAATTAGTGAAACTATGAAAGAAAGGAAAAACTAAGCCATGAAACCAATAGTAATTATTCAGACCTCAAGAAGCAAACAAGAAAATTTTCAGATCATTCCAAAAATAATAATTTGTAAAGAAGAGATAAACATCAATTGAAGAATGAAAAGACGCTTAGATTGTATAATAATTTAATGAAGAGAAGTGAATCATACGAATATATTGGAAAAAGATTTAAATTTCTAGCTGAGTTTACACAAAATAACAACCTCACCAAAATCTCACAGTATGTCACTATAGAAATGATGTCAACAAACTGATTTATGAGTATCATCAAATGCAAAACTATTTAACAGTAGTCATTGTACAAAAACTCAAAATAAGTGCTCTGAAATATTACTGCTTATATATGAAAGCCAACTGGACAACAATCCTAAGATTTTACACTATACTACTAGTAACTTGTTGTATAGTTGAAAGAAATTTTTTAAACAAAGATTTTAAAAATTTCTTAGTCAACCATGCTAGAGCAAAGACTGAATTATCTTTCTATTCCCTCTATAAATAGTATTACAAAACAATTGCCATAGACGGAGCAATCAAAAAGAAAGTATTATAGAAGTGTCAGGAAGTTAATTACTAAAAATAATGTATACTTTTCCTCAATTTGTGACTTTTTTGTAGTTGCCAGCTTCTTGAAATTGTTATTTTGCATGATGTCGTTTCTCTTTCTGAATAAATATTTAGTTTTGTACCTATTTTTTGTATTTTTCAAGAGGGCCCCCAAAATTGTAATCCCCAGGCCCCATAAAACTTAATTTTGCCCTTGCTGACAACAATATCTCCATCTCTCATTGCTTTGTCAATACCCTAAGCATATTTCTACCAGTGAATCCACCATATTGTTGTATAATGATCCATCCATACGTCTGCCCCTTCTGCTAGACAGCGGTCCTTCTGGAAAGGCACTGCTTCTCACCCATCTTCGAATCTCCGAGGCACATATTAAATGCCCAAGAAATACTTGATGAATGAATGGATAAGTATACAAATGGATGTGAGTGAATACTAAAAAATGAATGAATGGAGAGCCTGCCAGTGTCCACAGATACCACCTTTATTTTCAGTGTTCAAGTTGTAGACACTCACATTGAGTTCAACTGAGAAAAAAAAAAATCCTTGAGACTCTCCCAGCCACTGAATCCTGATAAAAACCTAAAGCAACAAGCCAGTGAGGAAAGCACTTAAACAAATAATCCCCAGAGAAAACTTCCAGTTAAAAAACAAACTACAGCAACAAAAATCAAAAAACGAATAAAGCAAAATGAAAACTGCTCTTCTCTACCCTGTGCCTCTCCCCACCCCCCACCCCAATCCTTGCTATTTTAGTATTGTGTTTGGATAGGTGTGCAGATATATTTGACTTATCTATTTGATTATGTGTTTTTGAGTGAATTGTGTTAGGGAGTGAAACACAATATTCATATACTACCGAACACTAACTCTTTCGTGAAATGATGACACTTATGTCCAAGATGTATGTTGTTTGCAGTCCAAAATATTTTCTGTGAAAATGCAGCTCTGAATTATGAGAAGGACTTGTGTAAAGAATTTGTAAACCATGTTCACTCATGCATTTCTCTTCATTCCATATTTAAAATTCTTATATATATATTTTTTTTATTGTACTTCAGGTGAAGGCTTACAGAACAAATAGTTTCTCATGAAACAGAAGTACACATGTTGTTTTATAACATTGGTTAACAACCCCACAACATATCAACCCTCTAACTTCTCAACCTCTTTTTTTTTTTTGGTGAAAATACACATAGCCAAAGATACACCATTTCAAAAATTTCTACATGCACAGTTCAGTGACATTGACTACGCTTTTCGAATTGTGCTGTTATTCTCACTTAAGATGAAGGCTTACAGAACAAAATAGTTTCTCGTTTAACAGTTACTACAAATGTTGCCCTATGACAATGGTTAACAATCTCACAACACATCAACAATATCCTTACTCAACCTTGGGTTCCCTATCACCAGCTTCCTTGCCCTCTTCTGCTTTCTGGCCCTTGTCACTGGACTCTTGTACCTCGTTAGTCTCATTTGGCTTTACGGGGCTGTCCACTCCCAGGTTGAACAGTGAACCTCGGAGGTAACTTCACCACTGAGCTAAAAGGGTGTCTGGGGACCATACTCTCGGGGTTTCTCCAGTCTCCTTTAGGCCAGTAAATCTGGTCTTTTTTTTGTGAGTTAGAATTATGCTCTACATCCTTCTCCAGCTCTGTCCAGAACCCTCTGTTGTGATCCTGGTCAGAGCAGTCAGTGGTGGTAGCCAGGCACCATCTAGCTGTACTGGACTCAGTCTGGTGGAGGCCTTGGTAGCCATGGACAATTAGTCCTTTGTCTGTCTTATATTTTGAAGAAAAAATATATATATTGGGAAAGAGGTTTCCTTACTATAATTCCCCACATACTGCTTTAACTCTGCAGCTGTTGTTTCCATTGGGGCCTCTTCAAATGGAATATGCTTTTATCTTACCAAGAAAATGAAAAGCAATTTGTTTTCTATTGTTTGAGGCGTGGGAGGGAGTTAGTTGTGCTGAGCAACCTTTCCCACAATTGCCCACCTCTCACTTCCTATTTTTTTCTACCTATCTCCTAGCTAAGCTGGGGATATTGGAAACTCAACACTCACCCCCTCCCCTCACCCAATATGCTGCTTCTTAATCTTTTGTGAATTATGAACCTTCTTGAAAATCTAGTGATTTTCTTCCCAGAAAAAAAGTACACAAACACAAATAGATCCAAGATTTTGCACGCAATTTTTAGGCCTTCGTTGACCACTTAATGCCATCCAAGGAGTCCTGTCCAGGGACCCCAGGGAAGGAGCCCCTACGCACGACAGTCCCTTGGGAAAGTCAAAGGATGAGCTGGCAGTGTGATACCTGTGTGGGGACTGAAACCTCCAAAGTATTTCACAACGTATATGACACTTTATCTAAGGCAAAATATTCAAGCCGAAAGGAATTGCTAAAGGGGGAAATTTACAGTTCGTAAGTCCCAGTAACTGTGCCTTTGAATGTTTAATTCTGAGTTGAGTCAATGTTTTAGGGGAAGATGTGGGGCATTTGTGCAAGTCATTACGGTAAAAAAAAATCCATTTTACACACCGTGTTTTAGCAGTGTTTCTTTTCCAAAGAGATGAAAGGTTTAATTTAAAGAATTTCTCCACTAATTTTTTTTTTTATTTTATTTTAAGGGTAAAGTTAAGTGTAAAGCAAATGGATAAATAATCTCATTTCAAAGCAAACTAACACTTACAAAGATCACCAAAATGCAAATCTATTAAAAATAGACCTTGTCTTTGAAGTTTATTTCACATTATCTAAATACATCCAGTTATGCAAATGTACATTTTTATTTCACATCTTTGCATTCCTGATATACACACATCAGGGCCAAGAACACACATGGAATATTCAGGCTGTAAAACCCTGTTTGGGGAAAACAAGATTCTCAGCTGCCTTATTTCTTTCTGCACATGAACAAAAACGATCGTTAGTAATTGGAGTGAAAATCAAGACCAGGAAGAGAAAGTGACTAATTTTTTATTCTACCTGAGGTTATTTGTACTTAATTTTTAAAATGGTCTTCCAGTTGCTGAACTGTGTTTCAATACGTAACTATCTTTGGAAGTTCTTTAAAGCATTTCAGGAACCTTAGTTGGCTGCTTTAGGGTTCTTAGAATCTGCTTAAAGTTAACACTAACAGCACACTGATGATGCTTTAATGTTAGCACTGTTGTGCTATGTATTGCCCTAAGATATTTTAACAAGTTGTAGTCAATATTATTATTCCTGTTTTGTGAAAAGATCTTGCCAGGCTAGAAAACGAGCAATTATTTCTTCAAAAAGGCAAAGAGAGAAAGACAGCGTGCGATACAGTACTAGTCTTAAAGGAAACAGTCACATTGAATTAAAGACTTTAACATTTTAGTTACAATCTTATAAAATTCAAATATATCTAAATTACATTATGATACTAAATGACTGCATGTTCATTCTGTTCAATGTTGCCCATGAGATCTTTTGTATCACTACTTCCTGGACTTGATCTACTGTTAAAATAGAGGGTGTTTTCAAAGGTGTCTTCTCGAGGTAGTTGCACATGTCTTTTTTTATAAAAGAAATATGCAGCGAGGCCAGCACCAGTTAGAATCAGGAGGATCACAATGACAACTACTCCTGCCACGCTAGAAGATGGTTTGGAAGGGCCCATCTTCCTTGAGTCAGCTATAAATAAATAAAATCATTAGAAAAAGATGGAGGGTGACAGAATGTAGAATGCTCTGGAGAACAATGCAAACTTTACTCTTTGAAAAACTAAACTTCATGAATATTCTTTCAAGTGACATTTGTCAAATAGAAATTCAGGACATAAAAACAAGAATCTATATGACAGAGAGGATTTAAAATGTTAAGATTATTATTCAGTTGTAAGAGTACATCATCTTTCTAGTTAATCAGTGTTTTGAGCTAGTTAATGTTTTAAAAATATATATCTTGTTCAAAATAATTTAAGGCTGCTTACAAACACCCACTGTATAAGAAGATAAAGAAAATAATAATAATAATAGAAAAACAAGTAAAAAAATAGGGAAAAGAGAAAATAAGAGTAGTGGAAATTTGAACTCATGAGTATTAATTAGTAAACAAATGGCACCCTTAAGGCTAATAAAAAGGTTGCAAAAAATGTGTTGCGGTTGAGTCGATCCGGACTCACAGTGACCCTATAGGACAGAGTAGAACTGCCCCATAGGGTTTCCAAGGAGCAGCTGGTGGATTCCAACTACTGACCTTTTGGTTAGCAGCTCAGCACGTAACTGATAGCACCCGTAAGGCTAATAAGATGGTTGCAGGTAAGCCATATTTCACTTGAAGTTTTCTTTAGCAGCCAACAAAAAATAGTGAAATGTAATTAGTTACCTAATTCAAGTAGTGTATAAACTTAATTTGGAAAAAAAAAAAGAAGTTGCTCAAAACAAAAAATCACAAGGATTCCTGAGAGAAATTTCTTCCATGAGTTCTCATAGGAAGCCCCTTTGTAATAGAGCAAACAATGACTCCAATAACGTCTTATGGTAAAAACACCAGCCTGACTCCTAGGCCTGTTTTTCTAGTGAATCAAAGTGGGTTGATGACACAATAACAAAGTCTAGTGTAGCTAAAGCAATTCTACTGAGAGTAGGGGGCAGTAAGAAGGGATTATCAGGGTTCTTAAAACAAACTGTATTAATTATTACAGATATGGAATTTGAAATTTAATAATGGTCTTACCTTTTGTTGTCATCAATGTATGAGTAGGTTCAGGTTCAGCATCAATAACTATAAAAAAAGAAAGAAATTAATTACACATTTATAAAAACCCATAATAATTGTATGTAGATAGTGGCTATTATTTGGTTTACAGACACGTGGAATCCTCCATCTTTAGTTTATGGTAATGTGATATATATGTATATATAGATATACAGATACATTTTACAGCTGTATGAGTACACTGGAAGATCTGAAAATGAGATCCTCCAAGTGGCATTTCTGCGACTGATAACTCACCCTTAAAATCTAGCCATAAGCAATGTATTCTAGGCTAGGAGTTTTGAAATTGGCCCACTGAAGTCTAAGATATTACAAGATATTGGAATGAAAAGTAACATAAGACTCCAAGATTGCACCAGAGGGTGTGGTATCTTAAAACAGAGTTAAAAAAGACTAAAGACCTGCACAATTTAAAATCTACTGGGGGGGGGGGGTTATTTGAGCTAATTCATTTTTGTTAATCTATTACCTAATTAAGAAATTTGTCTCTTGGGAAGAATATTATATGAGGTGGAATGGCATCAAAATATTGTTAAAGTCCATATCAAGAAACATTGTAGGCATTTAACAAAATTAATTACCCCAATCCCTTTTCTTACATGGTCTGCCACTCATTCTCAGAAGGAGTCTTGCATGATCTATTCTGTAATAAATTTTGCTTGCTCTCCAGAACCCTGGCCTCTTCTGGTTTGGGCTGGGTAATTGCCTCATTGCTTTTCCCCTCCTGCAGGGAAGCTTTGTCAACTGATTCTCCCAACTGCTTGCAACTTGGCAAATCCACACGCACGGATATCGCATGATAAATGTATTGATAAGCCAGAATAATTATGTCAGCTAAGCAGGCAGGGAGTGTTGCTTTCTCACTCTGGGCTGCAGAAGCAATTGATCACAGTGGCAGAATGGATTTTCACTTATAAAGGGAGATAGCTGGCAATCACATTATAATGGCACACTTGACATCTCCCTATTTGGAAGAAATAGTGGCCTGTAAACATACGTATCATATGACAAGCATCTTACTTACTTTTTGGTCTTTTACAAATATATCCTTTGTAGGAAGAGCAGTGAATGTTATTCCAAAACCCAGAAGAAGCAAGTAAAGTGACACAGTCATTGCGTTCACCAGAGGGGTCTCCTGCATTCCAGTTGACAAAGGAGACTGGATTGTTGTTTATCCAGAGCCACATTCCTGATTATCAAATAAAACCAATAAAGAGAAGTTAAAAAGAAGCCATCTTAATATAGAAATAGATAGTGGAGATGGTTGATGAATGTCATTAATGTCACTTAATTGTATATGTAAAAAATGTTGAAATGGAAAATGTTTTATATATATATATTTGTCATAATAAAATAATTTTTTAAAATAACGCATCTTAAAGTACATTCAACTTATTCACACAAAATTTCTAAGCATATTATTTTATACTACAATTAATGGTAGTTTACACCCAGACTTTTAACCAACAAGACTATAATGACTAATTATTACATGAAAAGAAACTGAGGAAGATGTTTTTATACAGCTTTAGTTAAAAAAAAATTTTCTAATTAATACAAATATTTATATTTATCCTCCCCAGGCTTCTTCTTCTTCTATTTATTTATTTTTTTTGGCATAAGATAGAAAATGCTTTATAAATCTTCTTAAACTAACTTAGCTACAGGAGATATTCTTTTTAATTAGCACCTTTGAGAACAGCTACTGTAATATGTGAGTCCTTTAAATTTTCGGTCCTTATCTTTTATTTTAAATAAAGATATGAGTTTGAGTTTCAAATTTTTCACAAATTAATCATTATTTAAGGTAAGACTTTCTGGAACTGAAACCTAGCTTTACATACAACATTTTGAATATTCGTGATTAAATAATGGCTCTGCAGAAATTACCTTCAACATTTCTGAACAATCCTATCCAAAAATTGGTTTTACTTTTAAGTGGCTCAACACGATATGACAGAAAACTGGATTCAGCAGCGCTTTCAATGGAAACCAAAGAGGAACCTGCAAAGTATAAAAGGACAAATTTGATGGAAGTAGCCAAAAAGTTTTTATGACAGTATTGATATTACGAGTAATAAAAATCAGTACCACATTTCCACGTAAAGGGAACAATTTCAAATAGTAGACATCTGCCTTCTCAGAATTTCAGTTTCTGTTCTGAAAATGTATACAAGACACTGAACTTATTGCTAGAGGATATGTAAATATGAGGAAGACATAAACTATATCTTAAGAAACACATGGTTTAATAGCTAGTAATAAGTGGAGAGTACAAAAGAGAGTAATAAGTTAAAAGCACAAAGAGAAAACAAGTGCAATATGCTATGGAGGTATTAAACAGAGAGAAGATTTGTTTTAGGTAGAGCAACTAACAGGGAGCATGGAGGAAGCAGAAAAGACATTAAACAGCAGAAAGGATAGACAGTAATTCCAGGGGAAAGACAAAGAGGAGGAAAGCATAGGGCTTCTTCAGGAACGGGTGGCTCAGTTGACAGGAGTGCAGCAACTATCTGGTCAATGTGCAAAAGAAGACAGATTAGGCCTCACTGCAAAGGGCAGGGGATTGATATTTAGGGTTTTGTGGCAATAAAAACACACTGTTTTTAAAAAGTAGAGTGGTAAAATGCATTTCTTGGAGTATTAATCAGTTCAAAATAAGAAAAAAGAAGAAACTGGAAAACTGGTTAGAAGATTATGATATCAACAACCCAGATTAGATTAAGATTGATTCAGTGTCAGCATTGAATTTTACAGTAAAATCCTATATACCTTTTTAATAATAGCAATAACTAATATATTTTAAGCACTTCATGCCAAGCATTTTGCTTCAGGCTTTATAATTATGATCTCATTAAATTTTTACAACAACTTCATGAAATAGATACTATTGCTACCCTGTTTTCCAGATAAGAAGACTCAAGCACAGAGGATAAGTAATTTTTTAAGTACAGGGCAGACCTATAACATGACACAGTTATGCTGGCACTTGAGGCTTTTCACTTAACCATATGCCCTGCATCCCATATTACTGGTTCCTGGATCATTCCCTTGGTGATTTTTTTTTAATTGCACTACTTCCTATTTCATTATTAAATATATTTCATAGGCAATAGCCATTTCAAAGTACTTTGATGAATGAAAATTATTCATTTTATGTACAGTAAAATACAGCCACTTAAAATTGAAAATGAAGTTTCCACATATTCATAGAAAAATTTAAAGGGAGTCCTTTAGGTGAAAATGAAAAGACACTAGACAGTAACTTGAATCCATATGAAGAAATAAAGAGCACCAGTAAAGGTAACTACATAGGTAAACTAAAAGACAGTATAAATGTATTTTTTGTTTGTAACTCTTCTTCATCTTATCTGATTTAAAGATAACTGCATGAAGCAATAAGTATAAACGTGCTGATTCGCATACAATGTATAAAGATGTAATTTGAACGACAGTAACGGCACAAAGGAGGGGAGAAGGAATGGAGGTACATAGGAGCAAAGTTTTGCATGCTATTGAAACTAAATTGGTATTAATCTGAATGAGATTGTTATAAATTAAGATGTTAATTGTAGTTCCCAAGGCAACTACTAAGAAAATAAATATATACAGCCATGCACTCATAAGGTTATACAGTGCCAGGAGCAGAAGAAGCTGCGGCCCCACCCCATGCAGTAGTGAGAGAAGGAGAAAGGTTTGCAGTCATGCATTGATTAATGTCCCTGATACATTCTGGGAAATAGGACGTTATGTGATTTGGACTTTGCGCGTAAACCATATTATATATGAAACTGCCTCCTTCCAGGCCCCTTCTTCCTCAGCTCACTGCTCACTCAGGTGCCCCCTCCCCGCACACCCCTCACCCTGCTTTCTTCCTCCTTCCCTCACTCCTGCAGGGAGCAGGGCCACAGGCTCCACCTCCTCCTGGTGTTGTATAACTTTATGGGACCGCTGATATACATGTGGTTGGACATTGCCTGAATGGACGTTATGCGGCACATGACTGTATGGTGTTCAAGACAATATCCAAATCAGGTAATGTCCTATTTCACAGAATGTATCATGGATGTTAAGCGACACATGACTGTATATAATAAAAGAAATGACAAGGGAATAAAAATAGTACGTTAGAAAATATCTATTTAACACAAAAGAAGTCAGTAATGAAAAAATAAAGGGCCAAAAAAAAAAAATAAGACATAGAAAACAAATGGCAAAATGGCATACATAAATCCTACTTTATCTATAATTAGATTAAATGTACTGTATTTTTAAGCAAATAATGCACACCCTCTGCATTTGTTTGCTGGATGGCACCGTCACAAGCACTGCCAAATCAATTCTCTTCCACATGTTGCTGTAAAAAAAATTTGCATAGCGTGCTTATGAAAATACCTGGTGGGGGAAGGGAATGGTTGGCAAACAAAAGCAGAAGGTACTCATTATTTGCATAAAAATACGGTAAATGGATTAAACACACCAATCAAAAGGCAGAGATTGGCAGAATGGATTTAAAAAAAACATGTCCCAACTATACTGTTTATAAAAAAAACACTTTTAGATTCAAAGACATAAATAGATTGAAAGTAAAAGGATAGAAAAAGATATACCATGCAAACAGTACCTAAAAAAGAGCTGGAGTGGTTATACTAATATTAGACAAAATAGACTTTTAGACAAAAATTGTTACCAGTGACAAATAGAGACATTTTGTAATGATAAAAGTTTTAATACATCAAGAGAATATAAACATATATGCACCTAACAACAGAGCCCCAAAATACACAAAGAAAAAACTGACAAAGCAGATGTCATCTGACTCAGAATTGAAAATCAAAACTCAAGGTTGACTTTTGAATGAACCTGAAGGAAATGGTGATACAGTTCTTGAATACCACTGTTGGATGAAGAACCTTGAGTTACAGCATAATCAAAATATGGTAAAAATAATTCAGTAAAATATTCAGTGTGATTTAACTAAGTGGATTTTTAAATACACCCAGAAAAATTAACTTTATTTGACCTTTTTGATTTCAGGTGGGAAAATTCACATATGTTGTGTCTATCTGGGTTTTGTTTTGCTTTTCTTTACACATATGATAACCAGAACTAAATACTTTTTTTATTAATAGTAAAAGAAAATGGTCTGGGCACTTGTAAAATCTGAGCTTATCAGTGATAGGAGGTGAGCACAACACTGAATAACAGGATAAGAATTTGCAGCAGTAGGACAGAAAGGAAGAAAGACTTCCTCAGCAAATTATTGCTTTCTAGCTCAATTCTCTGAAATTTTGAGGCTACAAATTTAGACAGTAGATATTGGGGGGCCATATGTTAAACATCTTACAAAATAAACTATTAAAAAATGAACAAGGTATTTTTACATTCCTTATGTTTTTAATGTATGGTGTTATTAGTTTCTTAAGACTAAAGAACAGATGACTGTGAAATTTTCTCACAATAAATGTGAACTTACCCATTCTAAGACATTCTAGAGAAGCATGGCCCCAGTTCTTTGTGTACGAAGACTCAATATAATAGCAGTGGCCGTGGAAAGGAATCCACGCTGTATGCTCTGACTCCGGGCATCTGCCAGGCAGTTGTGGAGGTTCAGTGGCAGGCGTGTCTATTAATAAAAATGCATTTAAAATAAAGCAAAAACTAAAATTTCTATAACAGAATAATATCTTAGAAGATAAGGAAGTTTTATCACCTATCACTGTAAAAGAAAAACTTCTAGTGGTCATTAGTTAGAGGCACCATTTTTATTATTGTGTTTTCTTTTACTTTATCCATTTTTTTCATATTAAATATATTCAGTGAAATGTACCATGGCATGGAGGTAATCAATCACACTCATAATCAAGAATGTAGATCTACAGTTACCTCTAAAGATATTAATATGTCAAAAAAAAAAAGTCACCCAAAAATAATTTTAAAATGGATTCCCTCTTCAAGCCATTTATTTCTTTTTCTGAGATCGTAGTCCCTATAAGCCCTTCTTGGCTATTAAAGACATCTGTGATGAAATTAAATGATATCATTACAATTCTAGATTTTAGTCCATAACATAATCGATTTTAACTATTTTCAATTGCCTCATATGCACGTGAAAGCTGGACAATGAATGAGGAAGACGGAAGAAGAATTGACGTCTTTGAATTGTGGTGTTGCTGAAGAATATTGAATATGGCATGGACTGCCAAAAGAACAAACAAATCTGTCTTGGAAGAAGTAAACCAGAATGCTCCTTAGATGCAAGGATGGTAAGACTATGTCTCACATACTTTCTATATGTTATCAGGAGGGATCAGTCCCTAGAGAAGGACATCATGCTTGGTAAAGTAGAGGGTCAGCGAAAAAGAGGAAGACCCTCAATAAGATGGATTGACACAGTGGCTGCAACAATGGGATCAAGCATATGAAGGATTGCGAGGATAGCGCAGGACCAGGCAGTGTTTTGTTCTGTTGTACATAGGGCCACTATGCGTTGGAACTGACTCCATGGCACCTAACAACAACATATGCATTCTGATAAAATTATTTTGATATAGTGTGCTGTAGACAATCAAAAATAAGCATAATCTCCTGGGGAATCTGGCATCATTGATTCAGAGGGTAATCTCAACAATAAACATTCAGAGGCTCATAAAGATTAAATAAACTCTATCAATGAAGAATATTTTCTATATCCATCGTTTTGATCTACATATATTAGTTTATCACTAAGTCAGTCTTTTTTAGGTGAAGGGATATGTTTTATACAGTCTTAGCTACCTGAGACACTAATTGTTTAATAATATCAATAGTGGTGTGTAGTGGCTTATTCAGAAAATTTCAAAACCCTGTTTGTTTCATGTATTCAATTACCATTTGATCTTTTACAGAGAGAATGGAAACTTTCATTGCAATATGCTGTCTTCCAGTAGCTATCAATATCCAGATAAACACAGGCTGATTTCAGTTTGGGTTCATCAGCAGCCCAATTAGTGTACCTCACTCTCCATTTATCAATCCAAACATATTCATTATTGGTCTGCAAGGACAAAAACAACCATTAACATGGAGCCTTGCTTCAAGTAGAAAATACCAAAAGAACCAAGCAAGGAGAAAAAAGGACATTTGAGATTGTGAATTGACATAGACTCTTGAACTTTGAGGAATTAAAAAGAACATTATAAATCACTTCTACCCATTTTTCTCAAATTCACTAAATGCAACCTTTTTAAAAAGACTATTTCTTGGAGGTCTCCAGGAATAAGTCTTTGGAAGCCAATTTGAAAAACACTGACATGAAAAAACTGACATCTTATTCTATGAAATTCTTTTACATTTGCAGGTTTTCAGTGCAAAGGAGAAGTTTTATCTCCCTAACACATAAAATATTTCTTATATTATTATTGAAACTAGAATAAAAACTACGTAATTTTCAATGAATTTGTGGAACCCTGAGATAAACAATAACCTAATCTGAAACAGTGTCAGTGATAAATGACTTAGCTAAGTTCACACAGGTAGTTAGTAGAGGAGCCTAGGTTTCTTGCCTTCCAGGCAGGTGGTCTTTCAACTACACAAACCATGATGTCATCAAAAAAAAATTGATTGTTTTATTCAATTTGCCAACTTAACTTTTTATTAAATTAGTTGAACAAATTTATGATTATGTACAGTCTAATCGATAACATCAAAAATATTATTTACCAATAATATTCTTTTAACAATGTAGACAAGATTTTACAGGTAAAGCCTTAGAACAGATAGATGACACATAATCTCAATCAGAGATAAGGACTTTTTTTAAAAATTCAAACAATTGTTTCCTTCTTAACTCCATCATTTAATTTACCAAGACAATTACCAAAGATTCAATGGCAAATTCAAAATATTTCTTCAAGTTAGAATTTTGTAGTATTCTACCATGGATACTCAGATAGTAATTGAATAATCATTAACTCTAGCAATACAAGGAAGATAATAGTACTATTTTAGTTATAAATATTGATGTAAAGGAAAGCCATTTAATCTTTCTAAAAATAAATAAAAGCCTATTTTAATCTCCTAAGAGAATTAAGACCATGTCTGTGAGAAGAAAATGAATGAATTATCAAGTGAATTAATTACTGAAAACATAGTTTCTATAGAAACATAAAAATCTCTTGCCTAAATTTAATCCCAGAAAACATTATGTAGCTACTTCATTTTAAATATCCACTTTCCCACTTAAAAATAATCCTAATTGCATAAAGTGTAAATTTTGATCTCTGTATCACATCATTAGAAGCTCTATAAAATCTAACACCAACCTACCTTCCAGTTTTATCCCCCTCTCTATCTCCTTTTCTCTTCTTGGTACTCCTTTTTTTTCTACCATCCTAGAGCACATCTATAAAGTTCCTCTTTCTCTGAGAAGCCCTTCTTGGTCATCTACCCTGGCAAAACTGGTCTGTTTTGCATCCTCCATTAGCACTTTACACATGCCTCTCTTTTGACACTTGCCTTAATAACTTGTTGGCATATCTAGTATTTCCTCTACTAGAAAGTTTGCTGGATGGATGAAGGTAGGATCATGTGGCAACAGAGAAATCTCACTTAGGAGCATTTTGGCAACTATATTACCAGTCTTACTGCTCTGCCTCATCCTTCACTACACCCCATTCTCTGTCAAACTTCCCTTCTCTGTTGCAGAATATAGAGAATTTACTGCAGTGAAATATTCCTCACACATAGACAGAAGCTCCACAACTTCAGTATCTATAATGACTCTAGAATGGCTTGCCATAAAAATTTAAAAGTATCCCATCACCCAGCAACTATGTCCCTGACCTGCTTTCTTAACTCCTATGGCATAGTTGTAGTCATGATCCTAGAAAGAAACAGGTGAATAAATAAAACTGTTTATACCCAGAATGTAGTTTTATTATTTAAAAACAATACGAGAATACATTAGTTAGATAATTCTTACTTCGATTTTTTTGACACACATCACTAGCTTGCTAGGTTTTTGAAGGTACAGATCAGGTTTTGTTCATCTTAGTACCATTCACAACTTACACATAACAAGTGTTCAAGATAATAAACAGAAAGCGGACCATTTTCAATCACAATTTATCAACATGTCAAGTTGTACGTGTTTCTGGCATCTTACCAAGTTACTATTCAGGGCGATCCACACAGGTACATTCAATTTTTGCATTTGCATCCACACAAATGCATTGCTATAGGGATCTAGAATGCTTCCAATATGGGAATTGTGAAGTGTGCAATACTTCTCTGCTTCATACCATGAAAGCTTCAAGTCAATGAGTGAATAGCTGCTTTCACCAAAATTAATAAAACCATCTGTAGGAATTGTTGTTGGAGAAACAGGTAAGGAAGGGTCTGAAATAAAAAGATGATTTTCATTAGCATTTTCAATAAACATTAATGGAGCCCAATCTGTAGATGAGTACTATATCTCACGTATTGTAAAAATAATCAGAATAGCACGAATCTAAACTACCAAGTTTTAAAAATATTTTCATGAGCTAATTTGCACCATAAAGCAAAGTTTATTTATAATCAGCATGCCTAACTAAATTCAATAATTTATGAACTGTATTACAAATATTAAGGTAAATAAATCAAGCTTCCAAACTGAAAACCAAAAAAGCTTGCCAATCCAATGGTGATCTGGTATCTAGATGAAAGAAATGCCACAGTAGCAAATAATGGATTTTTTTCAGTACAAGGTCAAGAACAATGTTTCTCCCCTTCCACCCATTTGTTCCATTTCATCCAGGTGTTTGCAACTATTTGTATCTATTTGACTCCACTTGTGAGTAATGCTCCTACAGAACACTGATTTAGGTTTCTGGAATGAAGCCATAAACCAGTCACTTGTTCATTTACCTTTTACTTCATGATCAAGCTCTGCTCTTACTGATAATTTCCTATGTCTTTCACTCAAGGCCCACATACCTCATCCAAACTGACCCAGAGGCTGAAGTCCCTGTAAACCAAAGTCACTTTGTATTTTTTGTTGTTGTTTATTTTTATCTTTCCTCCTCAATCTCCTAGCATGAGTTTCTAATCAATGCTATAGGTCGCTATGAGTCAGAATCAACTTGATGGTTTTACTCTAAGCCACTTACTGTCAAGACCCTAAAAAAGGAGTTTGCTTCTGCATGCCTTAGCTGATACACTAGGGAAGGGGTCAGCAAACAACAGCCCGAGTGCCAAATCTGGCCTTCTGTCTGTTTTTGTAGCCCAGAAACTAAGAATGATTTTCAAATGGTTTCAAAAAAAAAAAATCAAAGAAGAATGAAGTTATGGATTGAATTGTGTCCCCCAAAAATATGTGTTGTAATTCCTAACCTCTATAACTGTGGTTGGAGCCCTGGTGGCGCAGTGGTTAAGAGCTATGGCAAACTACGGCTGCTAACCAAAAGGTTGACAATTTGCCTCCATCAGCTGCTCCTTGGAGACTCTATGGGGCAGTTCTACTCTGTCCCATCGTGTTGCTATGAGTTGGAATAGACTCCATGGCAAAGGGTATGCCTGTGGTTATAATCCCATTTGGGAATGCGTTGCCTTTGTTGTGTGAATGATACAGGATTAGTGTAGGGTGTGTCTTGAGTCAATCTATTTTGAGATATAAGAGATTAAAGCAAGCAAGTCAGCAAGCAGAGATAGGGAAAGAGAGATGCCAAGCCACATGAAGACTGCCCAGGAGCAGAAGGTCAAAGATAAAGACCTTCCTCCAGAGCTGACACAGAGAGAAAGCCTTCCCTTAGAGCCTGCACTCTGAATTCGGACTTCTAGCCTCCTAAACTGTGAGAAAATAAATCTCTGTTTGTTAAAGCCACCCACTTGTGGTATTTCCATTATAGCAGCACTAGATAACTAAGACAGCATTTGGTACTGCAAGAGTAGGGTGCTGCTCTAACAGATACCTAAAATGTGGAAGTCGTTTTGGAACTGGGCAATGGGTAGAGGCTGGAAGAGTTTTAAGGTGCCTAATAGTAAAAGGGAAACCCTGGTGGTGTAGTGGTTAAGAGCTATGTCTGCTCACGAAAAGGTTGGCAGTTCAAATCCACCAGGTGCTCCTCAGAAACTCTATGGGCAGTTCTACTCTGTCCTATGGGGTCGCTATGAATTGAAATTGACTCGACAGCAATGGATTAATAGTAAAAGCTAGACTGCCTTGAAGAGACTGTTGGTAGAATTATGGATGTCAAAAGCAATTCTGGTGAGGGTTCAGAGGGAAGTGAAGAGAGCTATAGAGAAAGTCTCTGTTATCTTAGAGAATATATATGGTGCCAGCAACAGAATGTTGCTAGAAATGTAGACACAAAATGTGCTTCTGGTGAGGCTTTAAAAGAAATTGATGAACATGTGACCGGACAATGGAAGAAGGGTGACACTTTTTATTCAGTGGCAAAGAAGTTGTCTGAATTATGTTCAGATGTTTTGTGGAAGGTAGAACTTGTAGGTGATGAACTTGAATATCTGGCTGATGAGATTTTTAAGCAAGATCTTAAAGGGGCTGTGTGGTTTCTCCTTGCCACTTATAGTAAAATGTGAGAGGAAAGAGATGGACTTAAAAATGAACTGTGCAAAATGAGGACAGAACTTAAAGATTTGGAAAATTCTGCTGTACAAACTAAGGACACGTGTCCCAGAGTGTTCATCAAGGACATCGCTACACAATCTTTTGTTAAAGAGATTAAGCCTGTAACTGATGGATCTAACCAACTACCACAGGAGAAAACACACTGACTCTGATTGAAGGGGACAGAGAAAGAATGAAAGGAAAGAATGCTCTCTGCCTCTTGGAATTCTACAGGCAGGTAACAGGCCGAAGGAGGTATATCTGTTGTCCTCCAAGAAAAGAAAAAGACCACCCCTGGAGCAGCTTGGAGATCAGCAGAACTGTTGGAAGGAGCATGGGAAGCAGGGCTTTCTTGGTTTCAAAGGGTATGGCCGTGGTTTCTTGGATCTCAAAGTGTGGGGCCACAGCTTCCTGGGTTTCAAAGAGTTGAATCTTTGCCAACTTGTTCCAGAGTGTAGGACTGCTGTTAATGTGTGCCAGGGGGATGGGGTCGCCACCCAAAGTTGAGAGGGTGGGGCTGCAACGCTCAAGGGATAGAAGAACAGGCCTGCCAGGGCCAAAGTGGGAGGGTCGCCACTCAGATGGACTAAGAGAATGAGGTCTCCCAAAGCTGAGGGAGTAGAGTTGCTGTCCCAGTGGGCCTGGAAGGCGGAGCTGAAGCCCAGGGCTAAGGGGCCTCCACTCAGAATCCAGAGGGTGTGGCCAACACCCAGAGTCTGGAGGGGAGGGCCATTGCCTAGACAGTTTCAGAGAACAGGATTATTTTCAAGCCTTGAGAGCTAATGTAATTTGTTCTGCTGGGTTTTGGACTTGCTTGGTGGCTGTTATCCCTTCTTTCCCTCCAATTTTTCCCATTTGTAATGGACTGTCTACCTTGTGCCTGTTCCGTCATTGTACTTTGGAAACAGATAGCTTGTATTCTAGATTTAACAGGCTCACAGATGAGGAGGAATTTTGCCCCAGAATGGAATATTCCTAAAGTCTCACCCATATTTGATTTAGATGATTCAGAAGATGAGATTTTGGACTTAGAGTTGATTTAAGACTTTTGGGATGATGTGATAGGGTAAATGTGTTTGCATATGGGAAGGACATGAATTGGGGGGTGCCAAAGGGTGGAATGTTATGGATTGAATTGTGTTTCCCAAAATATGTGTTCTGATTCCTAACCTCTATGCTTGTGGTTACAATCCCATTTGGGAATGGGCTGTCTTTGTTATGTGAATGAGAGAGGATTAGTGTAGGGTATGTTTTGAGTCAATCTCTTTTGAGCTATAGAAAGGTTTAAACAAGCAAGCAAGAAGCAGAGCTGAGGGAAGAGAGATACCAAGCCGCATGAAAATTGCCCAGAAGCAGAAGCTCAGAAGAGACAAGGACATTCCTCCAGAGCTGACAGAGAGAGAAAGGCTTCCCCTAAAGCTGGCATCCTAAATTCAAACTTCTAGCCTCAGAAACTGTGAGAGAATAAATTTGTTTGTCAAAGCCGTCTACTTGTGGTATTTCTGTTATAGCAGCACTAGATAACTAAAATAAATAATATTTCATGACAGGTAAAAATTATATGAAATTCACATTTCAGTGTCTATAAATAAAGTTTTAATGGAACACAGCTAAGCTTATTCATTTCTATATTATCTATGGCTACTTCCATGCTACCACGGTAGAGTTGGGTAGTACGACAGAGACTCTATGGAGTACAAAGCTTAAAATACATTCGGCCCTCCATATCTGCAGGTTCCACATCCACGGATTCAACCAACCACGGATTGAAAATATTCAGGAAAAAAAAAAAAGTTCCAAAAAGCAAAACTTGAATTTGCCATGTGCTGAGCACTACACTGAATCCACGGGAATGAAGTGATGTGTAGGCATACCCTGTTGTAGTCTCCCACAATTTCACAGATCCTCAGTCTCTCTACAGCACGGGTTGAGCATTGTCAGCCTCCCGTCTTGTCTTTATTCCCTAAACAATACAGTATAGCAACTATTTACACATCATTTACATTGCATTAGGTACTATATGTAATTTAGAGATGATTTAAAGTATACGGGAGGATGTATGTAGGTATTATGCAAATACTACACCATTTTATACAAGGGACTTGAGCACCCATGGATTTTGTCATCCATGGGGGTCTTGGAACCAATTCTCTGGGGATACCCAGGGATAATTGTATTTACAGTCTGGCTCTTTACAAAGTTTGCTGACTCTTGCCCTCGGGTTCTAGATACTGTTGCCTACCAGTTTTGTCTTGGCCAATTCTTCAACCAATTCCACTTTTTACTCACTCTTATCCCCCTTTTTCTTGTTCTGTCACTACACAAGGGCCAAACTTTATTTTGAATATGTCTGGTAAGGAAACAAGTTCATTTCAGAAAAAAAAAAAAAAAAAAAAAAAAGGCAGCCTCCTCTTTGCTGCCATCTTGTGTTGGTATAATATCATTAAACCAAGTAACCCAGGCCTTTATGGGACTGAGCAATCTTATGACTTCCTAACCTGGGGAGAGCTGAGTTTGTCTTAATACCATTAAAAAATTTCTGGACCACTAAAAGTGGCAAGTGCAGTTAGAGGGAAACCTAAAAAATTATTTTCATATATTTGCCTATTGTAGATATTTCGTATTAGTGGCAATGTATAGAGACTAAAGTTTATTAGTGTTTAGCAAGAATAGGAAGGAGGAAGAAAGAGGGAGTCATTGCTTAGAGGGCACTGGGCTTCTCTTAAGGGAGGTGGAAAAATCTGGAAACAGTGGTGATTGCATAACATTAATGTCACTGAATTGTTCATGTAAAAAAGTGTTGAAATGACAAATGTTTGTTATATATATGTATACTTAGCACAATAAAATAAATAATAATAATAAAATTATTTTTATGGAAGACTAGGAAACAACTCATCTGTCCAATTTGCTTGTTATAAAAACATTCATAGAAAATTACAAGGAAAAAACTAAAATATTGAGAGGTTATTTCTAGGTGGTTAAATCGCGGATAATTTTTTCTCTACTTTGCATTTTTCTGTATTTTCTAAATTTTCAATAAAGAATATGTTAGAAACTTTTGAAATAGTATTTTTTTCTGATTTTTAAAAGTTATATGCATATATAACTATATAGTTATATGCATATCTATATATACATCAGGATGTATATATAGATATGCTTTCATAAACATACTTTTACTTGAATCCACAATCAACACCCACGAAAGCAGCGGTCAAGAAATCAGATGACTTATTAGATTGAGCGAATCTGCCACAAAAAACCTCTTTGAAGTGTTAAAAAGCAAAGCTGTCACTTTGAGGACTAAGGTGCACCTGACCCAAGCCGTGGTATTTTCTGTCGCCTCATATGCATGCGAAAGCTGGACAATGAATAAGGAAGATCAAAGAAGAGTTGATGCCTTTGAATTATGGTGTTGGCGAAGAATATTGTATATACTATGGACTGTCAGAAGAATGAACAAATTTGTCCTGGAAGAAATAATGCCAGAATGCTCTTTAGAAGCGGGGATGGTGAGACTTCATCTCATGTACTTTGGACATGTTATCAGGAGGGACCAGTGCCTGGAGACAGACATCAGGCTTGGTAAAGTAGAGGCTCAGCGAAAAAGAGGAAGACTTTCAACGACTTGGACTGACACAGTGGCTGCAACAGTAGGCTCAAGCATAACAACGATCATGAGGATGGCACAGGACCGGGCAGTGTTTTGTTTTGTTTTGCTCTACATAGGGTCGCTATGAGTCAGAACCAACTCGATGGCACCCAACAACAACTATATGTGTGTGTGTGTATATATATATATATATATATATTATATATAGATATAGTTTAGTTTACATATATATATATATATATACTTTAGTTTACATATATATATGTAAAGGTTTTGAAAAATACAATAAAGGAACTAAATTCACCCCAAATCCCACTATCCCAAGATAGACACTATTCCTATTTTGATGTATTTCCATTGAGTCTTATTTATTCTAATTTATTTATTTAAAGGGGGATTAATAATGAATTTTACATAATGGTAGTCTATAAAATTTCAGTCTGGCTTTTTTCACTTTAGGCTTGTAAGCCTTTCCTTAAGTTATTAAAAGTCTTCAAAATATTTATTATTGGTGACAAAATATTCTATCACTTATGTTTATAGTAAAAAGAAAAATTCTTTGTTTATAGTAAGAAGAAAATCTTCTATTTTAGGTAAGCTTGTGAATCATCATTCACCCCTGGAATGAACTTCACACCTTGGCCCGAAGAACAGAGGCACAGACTGAAGGCTTTCGGCATTACTGGTGGCCTAAGATTCTCGCGGCATGGAGCAATAGTATAAAATGAAAAGTGACATCGTCTGGACTGACTTTGGGGTAAAGGATTAGAATTTCTGACATACTTGTCAATCATCTGGAAATATCTTAAGCGATTTTCAGTCATTGTCATGAGTTGGCATTTGTTCCCTGATTCCCAGAAAGTCTGTTAGATGTGAGAGAACAAACCAAACCTAACCAAACCAAACCCGCTGCTGTCGAGTAGATTCCGACTCATAGTGACACTATAGAACAAGTACCTTCTAATTCAAACTCACCCTCTCAGAGCTGTGCTCAAGATGACAACAACCTCCCTGCCCTCAGTCTTCGTCCCTAGTCTGTCTTTTAATGTCTGACCCACTTCGTGTGTAGCTAGACATCTTTACTCTAGTTTCTCCAGAAACTGAAATGTGTACAACCATAATCTTGATTCTCAGTAAATATCCACATACTCTGGTTTATTTTCATCTAACTATATTCAGGCTTCCTAAGATGAAAAATGAAATTCAAACCAGATATTTATATTTCTTAAGATAGAATATAGAACAACTAATAAGGCATACACGATGCTTTGTGCCAGGGGTTCTTAAATCATGTGAGTTAAACTGATGTTTTCCTACTCCGACAATAAAAAAAGGTGCAGATCGGCAAACATCTCAATATTCTAACGAAATTAGAAAAAAGTTTCAACTTCGAGTTTAATCTGCACAAAACTTTCTGGTAATGGATGAGGGACATATTCTCGAAGAAGCTATAAAAAATATCACTCTTTTTATCTGTCACATGCATACAGATTTAAATGAGACTCAAACAAACCTGTTGCTGTGCAAGGGAATGAATCGTATTTTTTAAAAATGCATTAAAAGACCTAGCTCTCACAGGCGGGCAAAATTACAGTAGAACTTACTAGGTAATGTCTGGCATATATAGCCTCGCTTACTGTCACAAGTATCATCCATCCATTTTCCTGCATCCCTTGATTTGCCTCCAATAATAACAACACAGTCAGCCTGTATATTTATGGAGAAAGGAAAAGAAAACAAGTATGAATCAGCAATTATTTAAGTCAATTCATTAATAAGATTTTTAAAAATCCTTCATTATCCACAACCTCCAAATTTTAAGACCTTCCAAATTCATTTCCAGTATGTTAAATCCATCATTACATTTTATGCAACTACATCCACTTTCCAAGTAATCCCTCACATCTGAACTCTTGATACCTGAATTGAAAAAAAAAAATAGATTTGGATAAATTTTGGAGATAGGCCTGAGATCCCTTGCAATCCAAAATGTTATCAATCACTATCAAAACTTAGGAACCAAATAGATTAAGAGAACATAATATCCTCTGTATATGAATTCTCACTATCCAAACCCAGAAATATAGTTAAAGGAAAATAAGAACAACCTATATTTTTTCATTGCTAACTTAATTTATAAAAGCATTATTATTGGTTCATAATTAATTGCTAGCATGACCTGAAAGCTTTACCCTTATAATCTTACAGGGGAGGGCTGGGAAAAAAATTCTATTTTTCAGTTATGAGTATGTTTGCAATTTCAAGCTTCCTTAGGATAGTCTATGTCATGGATTGAATTGTGTCCCCCAAAAATATGCATCAAGTTGGTTAGGCCATGATCCCCAATATTGTGTGGTTGTCTTCCATTTTATGATTTTTCTATATGTTATAAAACCATAATCTCTGCCTGTGGTTAAAGAAGATTAGGGTGGCATGTAACACCCTTGCTCAGGTCACATCCCTGATTCAATGTAAAGGGAGTTTCCCTGGGGTGTGGCCTGCACCACCTTTTATCTTACAAGAGATAAAAGGAAAGGGAGGCAAGCTGAGAGTGGGGGACCTTATACCACCAAGAAAGCAGCACCAGGAGCAGAGCACGTCCTTTGGACCTGGGGCCCCTGTGCAGAGAAGCTCCTAGTCCAGGGGAAGATTGATGACAAAGTGCTTCCACTAGAGCTGACAGAGAAGAGAAAGCCTTTGTCTGGAGCTGATGCCCTGAATTTGGACTTCTAGCCTACTAGACTGTGAGAGAATAAGCTTTCTCTTTGTTAAAGCCATGCACTTGTGATATTTCTGTTATAGCAGCACTAGATAACTAAGACAGTCTGTAAGCTTAAAATGAGCAAAAAAGACAGACCAGAGTTTTCACCCAGTGTCAGAGGAAGATTCTGATTATATCATATGCTGCGTTCTTTTAATCTACCAGCTATCGTAATCATATACTTACACTGTTTTAAGTTCTTTACATGTATTAACTTATTTAAACTCACATCTATCCTATGAGGCAGGTACTATAATTATGCTCATTTTACAGACGGGAGAAATGAGGCACTGAGATATTAAATAACTTGCCCAAGGTCACACAGCTAATAAGAGTTAAAATTCAAACCCCAGGCATTCAGGCTCTGAGCCTACACCTTAACCACTTGCTATGCTGCTTCTCACTGAGTGAGGGATGCAAGGTGTGCTGGGGGCAGAAATGCTCTTAGAAAGGTTTTCTTATTGATAAAGAGACACAAAGGATAGTAAGGTTGGATGCTGTCTTGAATAGAGGCGATGCCTGAAACTTATGTATCTGTCATGCAGTAATGAAGAGAGCTAGGCCAGCATGCCAAAGATGCAGAGCAGCAAAATGGAAAGAACCTGGGTCCTTGATAAAGTTGTTAAGCCACATATTATATTTTATCAATTTTAAGACATGCATTTGTCATATTTTAACATTTCTAAAATAAGAGATACACATCATAATCAATAGCATATCAGAGTTTGATTGGCAGGGCTTTTTTATATTACATAAAATAATGGTGAATTTTTCAATCACTGGCATCTTAGACTCAATGAAATATAGTAAATAACCTCTCTGACTCTGGACTTTTTATCATGTCAGACAATATACTTATCTTACTGTTTAAACTGACTGACCTGTGATTTTCTTGTACAGATAGCTGAGAGTGTCAGTCCAGATGCACACCTGGCCTTCCATAGAACTGAGCCGACACTACCACTGCCTAGCCATGTGGATGATTAGGGGCATGGACATAGTGGCCAGCCTCTGGGGATTTCCTACAGGTACAAGGCCACAAATTACCCCAATAGCTACAGATGGCCCAGTTCAACAGGAATTTGGTTTTTGATCAGTTAAGTTTCACCTCTATCTTCCATCCACTTCCCCCTTCCTTTTGAAACTTGATATGCATAAAATGCATGCTTAGAATGTACATGCTCTCCTTCTGTCTCCTCTGGCTCTCTCTCTCCCGCATTGTCTCTCTCTCATATACACACATACAACACACATACACATGCTCCCTCATACCCCATCAGACATTCATTCTGGGAGGTACATTTACTCCATTGTCACGCAGACTGACACATTCCTGATCTTTTTGTCTCATTCATATGCACTTAACCTGCAAGGTCACACTCCTTTTCTAAGTGTGCTAAAACCTGTGCTTTATGCATGGCAGAATGCCATTACACTTTGTTTCCAAAGGTGAAACTATTACTCCAGCAGGGGTCATCAAACTACAGCTGAAGGTCCACCACTTGCTTTTGTAAATAAAGTTTAATTGGAGCATAGCCATGCTCTTCTGTCTACATATTGCCTATGGCTGCTTTCTCACTACAAAAGCTGAGGAACTGCAAGAGAGACTTCATGGTCACAAACCAAAACCACTTGCCGTTCAGTAGATTTCAACTCATGGTGACCCCATGTGTATCAGAGTAGAATTGTGCTCCAAAGGGTTTTCAATGGCTGATTTTTCAGAAGATCACCCAGCCTTTCTTCTGAAGTTCCTCTGTGTAGGCTCAACCCTCCAATCTTTCAGTTAGCAGCTGAGCATGTTAATCATTTTTACCACCAAAGACTCCAAACCTCACTTTCATTAGGCTAGTCCTTTACAGAAAGTTTGCCAACCTCTGAAATCCATCTCAACCCAAAAGCAGGGTTTTTCACTTTTGCTTCTTTACAAATTTTTTTTTTAAATCTTTTATTTTCTTCGAGTACTGTCTAAATCAAGCTCATTACATTTCTCCTGAAATTGCCATTCCTTCCATTCCAACCTTCATATCTGATCCATCTGGTCTACCCTCATATCTCTCTGGTTCTGATGGAGAAGAGGTAGCAGAAACATTTTAAGATAGAGCCAGCAATCTAATTTGAAACGTGACCTTTTGTTCATTTAAAGTAAGAGAATGGTGCTTGGGGAGAGGTCATTAGGATAGCCAGAAATAAAGATAGCTGACTTCATAAAATCATTCTATTCTTCCACGGCTGGAGTCCCAATATTTCATTGTATTTATTCTTACAGTTACCTTCTATTTATGGTGAATAATAGCAGCTTTCCACTTTTTTCCACCTATAAAGTTTTCCTTTAAAATAAATTTATACCAAAAAAAAGAGAGTAGACTTTTTTTAATGTTAAGTCAACAATAGTACATAATGTTAATGTTGTGCGCCACTGAGTCAATTCCGACTCATAGCGACCTTACAAGCACAGAGTAGAACTGTCCCACAGGGTTTACTAGGTTGTAATCTTTAGGGGAGCAAACTGTCAAGTCTTTTCTCCCATGGAACTGCTGGAGGGTTCAAACTGTTAACTTTCCCCATTAGCAGCCAAGCACTTAACCACTGCGCCACCAGAGCTCCTTACAGTACACAACAGTGATAAACAAATACAGCAAAAAACGGAGAGATTGACGCTTGGGAAGCACAGCTTTATCCCTGAGCCACAACTCTCTCAGGCCTGTACTACAGCTACTTTCGTCTTCTCAACCTCCCTGCCTCTAGCCTCCTTACCCCATGAGGCCCAACTATCGGGCATCCCCTGTCCTACATTTCATACTCTCCACTCATCCCTATCTTCCTTCTTAACTTTCCTTATCTTCCATTATCTTGCTCAGAGTTTCTGCTCTGCTCAAGAAAACCTGTACAGAACAAATTTGTTGCCACTACTAAACACGTGCAAAAAGTTTGCTCCCCATTCTCATTATCAAACTGTATTTAGTCCTTCTGGTTTTCAAGTCATGAAATTTTAACAAAATGGTATGTATGCTTTGATTTCTATTTCAATACAAATGTTATATGTTTACATGCATCAAGAAAATTCTAGAAGTAAATTCAGCAAAAAGTCTATGTGGCTTTTTTTTCCTGGATGGTGAGATTACAGATTTTGTTTCCATTTCTCTATATGTTCTAAAAACAATAAAACTTGTGCAATAATGTTTTTTGTTTGTTTTACATAAAACTCACCTCTCATCCATTAAATCTTCCTAAGCAAACTCTACTTCACTATTTTAGTTTCTTCAATAAGCTTTCATCCCTCATTATATAATGAAGATCCAAAGAATTCCTCCACAGAAAATCATTTACCCATCACCAAAGTGTATCTACCCTGCACATAGCTACCAAATTAATTATCATTAAAATGTCATTTTGATCAGATTCTTTTTCTACTCAAACCTTTTTTCACTGCCTATCTGAGAAAGTCCGAACTCCTCCACTGAACATCCAAATCTCTAAATTCTGCTTTCCATCTTTCAAAGCTTACTTCTACTTCTTTTCTGCTTAAAACTCTTGTTACATCCAAAATCATTTACTCCTGCCCAAACGTACTTTGTCCTTTTTCTTGAAAACTTTGCTCACCTTGCCCACTCAACATGGCCTCCCTCATCCTCTTTCAAAGTTGTCCTGGTCATTACATTTTAAGTTTCTTGAGAAAGACTCATAGCTGATTCTTTTTCATATACTTTCTCTCCACCAGGGCATGCAAAGACAGTGCTTTGTACAAATGAAGGGCTCCATGGATACACGTTGGCTGATACAATCACTTCATCCCACAGTGAGTTTCTTCCTCTTAGCTACTACAGTGCTTTGTAGCTGATCTTGTCATTATTTACTTTTATTTCTTTACTATCTTCTTTGATATATAAGACTTGCAGTCTAGCTTAAGGGTAAACTCCTTTAAGATAAGAACAAAATCTTATGTTTCTGTATGTTTTTCTCATTGCTTAGCATGGTGTTTGACATTGATTGGTTGACCATTCAATATGTACAGATAGAAGAAGTCATAGTCTCTCTCTTAACTTAATGTACAAAGGCACTTAGCACAGTGGCTGGCACACAATAAGCACTCTATAAATATTAGCTCAATAGTGATGATGATGCTATCTTTAAACGTAGTAGTAGCTCCCAGACCTACACACCAAATACTACAATGGCTTCAAGAGTTTAGGCACAGCTAATGCAAAGAAAGCTGGTAACACTAGATTCAACTGTATGTTCAGACCACACGGTAGTCCCAGAATGGAGCTGGGTTTCCCTACCCCTAAAACACATTTCCCTCACCCCCACATACACACCCAAGCCATAGAATTCTTAACTGAATTTATATTCCTTCCCTCAAGGCTGGCTCAGTCTGAAACAGTTAAAATCCTCTGGTAGGTTTGTCACAGATGATTAATCACTAATATGATGACTTTGAGCAAGCTGGTTGTGTAGAGAGATGACCTGAAATCGATACCTACATCTTCATAAGACAGACTGCTTCTTCTTCCGCCAGGATAACCTTTCCCCCAGTTTGTATAATCAACTCCCTGCTGATCCGTCCAAAGGAACGTGTGCTCTGAATTGACATCATTCAGCCCAGTCCAGGCATTAAAATTGGAGCCCTTCATTTGATAGGTAAGAAATGCTGGAAGAAAGTTTCACAAAATAATTTTAAACTTTGTGGGAAAAGTCTCAAAATGTGGGAAGTATCCAAAATGTTAATTGCAAAATACTGAACATGTCATTAATGTCTTTATTATTATTTAAAAGTACCTACCGTGATACAAACACCTTCTAACCTTAGCATAGCGTTACGACTTCAGCTTTCAACTTTGAAAAGTTTCTCACAGTAAAATTCTAGGTTTTTTTTTTTTTTTTTAAATGTTAATCTAGGCCACTGTATATGGTTGTACAAGCTGTGCCCTGCCTAAGGGACTGGATCAAGGAAGCCAAAGGGAGCTGAAATCCAGGCCTCTCCTCACTTTCCATTTTATACACCTTGATCTGGGTTGTGTTTAGCTACCATCCACAGGAAGAGGTGCTTTTTTCTAATTCAAAACATCATATGGGCTAGCAGTTGTCCTGAATTTATAAATAAGATACTCTGGTTATAATAACTAGGGGGGAGAGAACAGTTAACCCAGAAAAGTTTTGTAAATAGAAACTATTGGTCAAAACCAGAAGTATTAGTTTGTCAAGTTATCAATACCTCAAGCTGACAAACCGCAAGAGCAACCAAACTGAGATTCCTTCTAGGGGCCAGTCCTATGCAGAGTGTGCTTGGGCTGGGGCACACCCTGATACTTAAGTGTTCACATCATGGGGCAAGAAGACCTAGAGAAATTCAGAGAAGATAGTACAAATATGGCGTCTTGCTTATTTGTCAATTTCTGTGGCAGAGAGGATGGTGTCAGATATCTAGAAGCTGTAAAAGGTTTAAATGTATACAGCCCTGTTCCCTCTCCTTTAGCCCTTTCTGATCACTCGTCTTTCAGTGGAGGCCTACACGTTGCTATGATGCTGATCAGGTTGCAGCGGAGCTTGCAGACTAAGACAAATTAGAAAGAAAGGCCTGGTGATCTACTTCCAAAAATTAGCCAATGAAAACCCTATGAGCACAAGGGTCTGATCCACAACCAATCATGGGGATGGCGCAGGACCAGGCAGCATTTAGTTTCATTGTGCGTGGGGTCACCATGAGTTGGGGCCAACTCGAAGGCAGCAATTGCCTTCTGCCAGGAGCAGTGGGCTCCTACGTGGATGAGCACCTACTCTGTGGAACAACAATTTGCAAACACTTAACCTTAACCATGTCTCCTGAATGTAAATAGGAAATGAAATTACTAAGCACTTGGGATTGCTAATAGAAAATTCAAAATAGATGAAAGCCCACAAAGATATAATTATCTGTTTCTTTGCGAACAAGCAACTCCACAGAACAAAGTAAAAAAAAAAAAAAAAAAAATCCTTCCAACAATTTTCACAGAGAGATGAGCACAGACAGATTTATTTGTTTCCTAAAGAAGAACATAACTTTTGCCTGATCCCCAACCTAAAAAGTGGAAAAGCTCTACCTGCCAATATTTAGCACTGATTTTTTTTCTGCCAACAACCATAGTAAGAAATCAACAACATGTGCCTGTTTTGCCAGGAATAATGTTATTTTATCTGAAAATTGTTTCCTTCTGCACATCTCTATTACCCAGGTTATAATTTTGTTATGCCAGGAATCAGCACTTTGTGGTTAAGAGAGGAACTCAATTATTGTGTTTCTCTACTGGGTAGCTAATCCCAAAATGTGGTAAGCCAGTTAGAGAGATGTGAAAGTTGTATTCTTACAATTTTTATTGTGTGCTATGGTTTGACCTTTTTCTTTCAATGTCTGGCAAGTTCCTGAACTTGTCAAAAGTTCTCAGAGAAAGATTGGTTGATTTATTGTACGCTGTGTTCTAAAAGATTCCATGGCAGCCTTTATAGAGCAAAATAAGCATTTGGGAAATAGCCATACAGGATTCCAGTATCTTTCTTCCTCTTATAATTTTTGAGATGTATCAATTTTTTCCAGTAAATGATTTTGGAAGTCAAAATCCTCAGAACCAAAAGGAAACAAAAAAGCTTATCCAGTCCACATCTCCCCTCTATAACATGCTCATAAATTCGTAAATACAACAAACACTTATTGGGCATCTTTTATGCTACATGCCAGCCAAAACATGTGACTCCAGAGCATCCATCTGAGTACCTTCACATTTAAGCATTTTCAAAGCCTTTTAGAAAACTCACCTTCCTCACAAAGCAGCCATCCAGTCAGTTCTATTTGTTAGAACTACCCCCTCATTTTGAGCCTGAATGTCCCTGTAACTTACACTCATTGATTCTAAATCTTCCTTCTGGGGTCACATAGGATAATCCTTCAGGGTCTACATCCTCTCTTTTGAGACTGTGTAACCTAAAAGTCTTTCAAACATTACTCACGTGCCATGGTGTCCACATTCTTCATCAGTTTAATCACTGTCATTTGAATCGGCTTTAGTTGGTCAACATCGTTCTTCAAGGGACAAGTCACAAACTGAACCTAATAGGTTCTTCAAGTATGGTCAGTGCCATGCAAAAGTGCTTTTCCTTTGACAGCAGTCTAGTAACAACTTTCACAATCTGCTTGCTATATAGATAGTTGAGTTTTCTCCTATTCTATACTTCTTCATAATTCTGGCTTTTTCTTACATGTTTTATTGAAGTTTTTTCTCAATTTTATCAAAGTTTGTATTTAAAAATCAGTTTTATTATATTAAAATTATGTGATCAAGTGACTAGAGGTGCAATAAATGGAAAAATGCATTTCTTATTTTATTCCTAGAACTAGTCTATTTCTTTGGCTATTTGAGAAGCAAGCGGATTTGGTAGGAACAGGATGGGATTTAAGCTGGATAGACTTAGGTTCGATTGCCAACTCTACTGCTTACCAGGCAAGCTCCTTGACTCAAGCCTCTCTGAAGCTCATTTCCTCATTCATAAAGTAGGGGTAATAATATCTGATTCGCAGGGTTGTTATAAAAGAAAAGAGACTTTACATGTAAAATACCCAACATGGTGCCTACAACTGAATGGAACAGTTCTCAATAAATATTTGATTTTTCCCTACCTACTTTTTACTCTGGAAAACTAAAAAATCATTTACTATCAGCAGTACTCTACCATTTTATAGAGAAAATTACATATTTAAACGTGTCATCAGTTGTAAAATGGCCTGCATACCTTGCTCTTTTTCATTGCGTATGGATACCAGATTTCCTCCAAATCCTATGCAAGCCTTTCGTGCTTCTTGCCAATTTTTTCTTTCTTCTTCAATAAATCCAAAGATTTTTAAACACTGAAATGGAAGGAAAAAAAACGTAAAAAAAAAATTGGGGTTAACTAAAGATAAGTCTACTTAAAAAAAAACTAAAATTATTCATAAAGATTATAGCTAAATATAAAATTTCTAACAACCAAATAGAGTTTGTTTGTTTTGTTAATTTTAAGACACAGACAGGTTCTTTACAACATTTTATGGATCACATTCTTCGTTGGGACAAATGGTAACTTTATTTGGATAATACCTCCTAGTATGCTCTCAATTTCTAGAGAATTTGTCTTGGGAATCTCTACCTAGTCTTAACAAATAATTTCTAAAGTGATGAGGTAAGCAAAAGTTAGCTTTGAGCTGAAAGATTTGCATTGTCGCTCTGCATGTTGATTGATGCCAAGACTGAAACTAATTCTCCTAGTACCTTGTTATTGTAAAATTTCCAACCTTCCTCACAACCACCTTTGACTGGGGGTGTGGTAGGAAGAACTGTGGCATTGATGCTGCTATTATGCCGCTGGCAAATGAAGGCATGTGGATAACCACAATTAATGTCATTCCAAAACCCTGGAAAAGAAAAGAATAGTTACGTTAGATTTACATGTTTAAGTTTAGAAACATTTATTCAATTTTAAAAAATGTATTCATATTTTATAAGCATTCTCAAAAATTGTTTAGACTACAATCTTTTCCATAACTGACTAGAAGAATTTATGCAATATCCCTTTGCTCCTTGTCATAAGCTAAAAATAGTAAACTTCATACAGTGGTTTTTATGAAGCAAGCAAGTACTTGGTGTTTCAGATACATTATCTAATACCTAAACTTTATATTTAGCAAACATCTGCTTAGTGTTTTAGGTGTATTATCTCATTTAATTTTCTCAACAACAGATCAGATAAGTTCTATTGTGATTTCCTTTTTACAGATAAGGCGCTGGAGAGAGAAATGGAAAGAAATAGATAAACATACTCTGCATATTTTCCTCAAATCAGAACGTGAAAACAATGTTTCAAAATATGTGAAGTGAAAAGATTGACAATGTCATGCCTTAGAGTAAATGTTAAACCTCCCCTTCTCTTTACAATTTGAACAAGTTACGCTGCTAACATTAGAATTCTTTATTCTCTCCTTTTCTTGCCTGATAAAAGTACACAACTTGCTCATTTTAACCTAGGGCTGTAGGAAATGATACATCACACCACAAGGCAAATTCAAAAAGATCTTTATGTTGTCTACCTGAATTTGAATACATGGCTACACAGTTTTCATCATCATTTGCAAAATTGGGTTCACCTGTGGCCCAAGCCACATAATCCACTTTGCTTCCATCCACCCAACTGGAAAAGAAAATTCAGACCGTTTACATCAATCCAGTTGTTACAATAATTGGCTACAGTCTAGTAGGGGGGAACAGGCAAATCAATCAATATGAAGGGAGCACAGGGTGCTAAGAGAACAGAGGACCTAGGGGGTACTTTCAGGAACCCCCTCCCCCCTCAATTCCTCAGTTCTTTGTGCTTCCCTTCTCACTGTGCTCCTTTGTAGCAAGCCCAACACCTTGGCTAGTCTGGCTTCTTTTCCCTCCCAGGAAGAAGCTACTTTTGTTCGTAAAGTGGGAGAAACAATAGGGAATCCCAGTTCTACTCTGGAAGTGGGTCAGAAGCAAAAATCCTTCCACAGTATTCCTCAGACATGAGTCTCACAAAACAACACTACCCACAGAGAGGCAGAGAATCTAGAGCTTCTCATGAGACCATTCACTGATTTTCACATTTACTCTGGATTCACCTCAGTCATGTAAGTCAATGCTTATTTTCTTAAATTCTAGAAATTCAGAAACTGCACCAGCTGGAAGGGGACCTAGAGATTATCTAATTTGGCCCTCTCATTTTGCAGATGAGAAAATGGGTGCTTGTCTAAGGAGCATCAAGCATTTCTGTTCTTTAAAAATAACCAGCTTGAGCTTAGGTCTTTATAGTTCAAAAATGGCAATAATGACCTGTTGCCATTGATTCAATTCCGACTCATAGCAACCTTATCGGACAGAGTAGAACTGCCCAATAGGGTTTCCAAGGAGTGGCTGGTGGATTAGAACTGCTGACCTTTTGGTTAGCAGCCAAGCTCTTAACCACTGTACCACCAGGCTTCCTAGCAATAATAGTCACATGAAACATGTGGCTAAAACATCTGTCCAAGAGCCAGGAATACATATCTGCTCATCAAACTCAGGAGAACACACATATTAATGAATAAGAAGCAAAAAAGTACTAATTTCCTCCCTCCGGAAGCCTTCCCTGGCCCTGTATCTAATGGAAAATAGTACAGTCAGTCCTTTGAAGGGAAAGCATTTCGTGCAGTAGAAAGAGTATTTCAAAGTAGTGCTGCTAGAGTATCGAGTGGGGCAACATGAAAGGATCATTTGGTTCTGTGTACCAAAGTCCCTACAAACAAGAATCATAACTTTTAAAGTAAATTCAGTATTCATATCTGTCTAATCCATCTTCTTATGGATAATTTACTGACAGATGAGGACATCCTAAAACATAGACAGGTGAAGTTTTACAAGATGAATTAATTTTGAGTTCTTTATTTAAGAATTATAATATTCAAATATTTAGTAGGATTATTTTTAATCATTTTTATTTTTTAAATCCTTTGCATACTGAGAACCATGTATGATGATTTTAAACATATTTAGTCAAACAGAAGTCTCAAAATATTTATCGGATCACTGTTCTAAGCAAAGTTGTTTTATGTTGGTTTACTTACATGAACTTTTTATCCAAGCTGATCAATAAGCCAATAAAATAGGCTGACTGGGCTTCATTTCTGTTTACCTAAAACGGAAGTATACATATAATTCAATTTATGTTTGCATAATATGCAAATTGTCAAACAAAATCTACATATTAATTAGACACGTCTAAGGAGGGATTCAAGGAGCCTTGGTGGCACAGTGGTTGAGCACTCAGCTGCTAACTGAAAGCTCACCAAATCAAACCCACCAGCAGCTCCATGAGAGAAAAGGCCTGGCCATCTGCTCTTGTAAAGGTTTCAGCCTAGGAAACCCTACGGGGCTGTTCTACTCTCTTATATATAGGGTCGCTATGAGTCACAATCAACTCGACGGCATTTAACAACAACAACACAGAGGGATTCAGGCTGGAATTAAGTTGTATATTCTAAATTGTTTTTTCATAGAAAAAATATACATACTATTTAATAAACTTCATCAACCTTAGAGCAAATGCGTTGAGTCATTCTCTATAATTTCAAATGCCTATAGTAATTCGATTGTTGAAGGTATTCTTAAACAAAGTAGCCAGTTGGGATTACTCATCTAAGAAAAGACTCTCTTTCATTCTCTCTCTGTCACACACACACACACACCCACACACCCACACACACACACTCATGTGCAATATTAGGAAACAGTTCAAGGATTTCAAAACAGGATATACCCACAAAAATGAAGATAAGACTACACTCTAGTCCCTTTGACCTTTGTAATCAAATGAACTTTCATTCTTTCAGTGCTGCTCAAGTTATATTTTGCTGCTCTCCCTCTTCCTTCCTTTCTGGCAAGTGGTGAGGATGCCATGAACATTTTGAAAGGGAAAGATACCAAGCCAATCACTCTTGGAAAAAATAAACTATATCTTCACTGTTAGCTGACAATTTTGGTACAACCAAGAAAGATTTTTATGCGAATAACCAAGCTGTAGTACTTGTTAGCCAACAATTTGGTCCAGCAAAGACAGGCTTTTTTTTTAAATCAATAATTAAGTGGAACTATATACAAAGGATTCAGGATTTTACTTTATCACATTGGTGAACTTGAAGGCATCACGTCTGGATCCTCACAAAGCTCAGACTAAATTCTGTTTTTGGGTTCTGGGATTCTGCACTAAACATTCCAGCAATATGGTCATTTACTTCTGTCAGGCCAACATTGTCCCTCCTCCGTACCCTGCTACCTTACCACCTCTGGCAGTCACATCCTTACCCCTGAACTTAAAAGGTTTAAATTCAGCACATAATTTGAAATTGTGCATGGGGTACCAATCCTAGACATTATCTTTGCTTATCACATGTCACTGTTCCATTCTTAAATGAATCATGTTCTTACATATTTCCATAGAAACTTCTTTTCACTTTCACTTTGAATAGAAACAAGATCACCAAAATTCCTCTTGCAAAATTCTCGTCCATTGACCATGGTTTCCTTCTCTTTGCTAAAATAATACTGGTATTCTTTGTAAATAACCCACCCATCTTCAGTGACTGGTGGATCTGAAAAATAAATGAGGAGAAGTCATACATTTTACTTATAAGAATTCAAGTATCTGGTATGTAGTAGGATACACAAAATGAAAAGGACACAGCAGCTATGTCAGAGGTAATTGTAACTCTGAGAGCCCAGAATAAGCAGCATGTTCGTGACATACATATTGAATAACCTAAGGCCACATACTCACTTTCCACTAACCCTGTAAAAACTACCATTTTCTCTTCCCAGTTAAGTGCCATATTTCATTACTGGGTATAAGAACCCCCAGTGTTACTTTCATCAGTTGGACAGCACAGCTGAAAGGATTTACATACATGCACACGTGGTGTTCTAGGTCAACGAGTAGAAATGATGAGAAGATGAATTTTAGCCCAATATAAGAAAGAACTTTCTAACAGCTGGACTAGGATGCTTCAGGATACAATGGGAGTACCAGGGAATTCAAGTACCAGGAGGGCTCCTAAGGCTGCTTCCAACCCATGGGTTTCTATGGTTCTGTGCTAAGGAAGGAGAAACTTTATAATCATATATCTCTGAGATACCGCATTAGGGTGCCTTATGTTTGCGCATTTGAACATCTCTCTGGAGAGGAAGACCTGAGCTTTCATGAGATTCTCAAAGATACTGAGACCTACTGCTCTGTACCTTCCTAGGATAAGTAACTTTTCGCTGGGAAAGGAAAACAAAGAAAAAATGACTATAAATATGGAGATCAGAAAGTAAAGAAACACCTACTGTCTTGGGGAGCTGGTGTTGGCTCAGGTTTTGGTGTTTGTCCTATAAAACAAAAGAAAATTAAATACAAAATGTGCTTGAACTTCTGTTTTTCAGTCACAACAAGTAGAAAAAGAAAAGGAAAGAAAAGAATATTAGTTTTAGAATCAGGAAGCCTAGGTTCAAATTGTTAGCCCTAATATTGTCAACTGCAAAAAGGAGTTAATAATAGGTGTAAATATGTGAAATAAAATATGTGTGATTGATATTTGTAGGTAACATCTATTAGGTAACAATATTAGGGCTAACAATTTGATCCTAACAGATGTTAATGGAGCCCTGGTGGCATAGTGGTTAAGAGCTCAGCTGCTAACCAAAAGGTCAGCAGTTCAAATCCACCAGCTGCTCTTTGGAAACTTATGGGGCAGTTCTATTCTGTCCTATAGGGTCGCTATGAGTTGGAACCCATTCGACAGCACCTAACAACAACAACAATAGATATTAGTTTTCTTGGAGACTGTGAAATTATTTAAGTAGCTGTGAAATTATTTATAATTTCATTATTCGAAACTATTAAATGTGGATTATTTATAAAATATAAAATATATTTTCCTCAAAGGATCTTACTTTAATTAACTGCATGGTTTAATAAAAATTAAATGTAACATTTTTCTTTCCAAGTAGTTAATGATATAACTGAACTTTGTTGGACTCTGATAAAAGGGTTCTGGTTTCCTAGTTTTTGGTCTAATTAGTTTACAATCCTGTAGTAGTTTAAAGGAGCCCTGGTGGCACAATGGTTAAGTGCTCAGCTGCTAACTGAAAGGTCAGAGGTTCAAACTCACCAGCCACTCATAAGAGAAAGATGTGTCAGTCTGCTTCTATAAAGATTTACAGCCTTGGAAACCCTATGGGGCAGTTCTACTCTGTCCTACAGGGTCACTATGAGCAGAAATTGAGTGAACTCAACTAACTAACTTGACTAAAAATATAAAAGATATATTAGTCATTGATAACTCAGAGACCTTTAAAAAACTAGCCACCTTTTACTCCTCTGCTCTGAGGAAAGCCCTCTGAAAGCACTACTCTAGGCAGGAATTAAGGAAAACAATCTCATAGGCAGCAGATGAATCAAGTATCTCCAGCAGTAGAGTTGAAACTGTTGCCAAGGCTCTCCAACACAAGATGGCAGTGCAGTCCCACTTATCTGTTTACAGACGAGGAAGTTGATGTATATTTTGGTTCAAGGTTTGTTGGTTGGTTTACTTTCTTCATTATCTGTCTGTCTATCTATCTATCTAGGGCTTAAAAATGGTGCTTGTTCTTTGTGTTGAATATTCACCTGAGAAATCAATATTTAGATTATTTGGATTTAGGGAAACTTTTACTTATCTAGTGATTAATGAGAAGGGAAAAATTTTTTAAAAACTGCATTTTCACTGCTCTGTTTGCAAATTAGTATACACACTCCTGCTCCCACTCCTCGCTCTAGAACCTGAGCCAAAATCACGGCTCATGGGAACTATTCAGGAGGACGTGACTCTCCCGGATTCCCGGGTGGCCTTTTGATCTTCTGTTCCTTTGGAACATTTATCTGCACTGAGAGACTTCATTCTTATCTTGTGAAATGATGGTCCCTGACAGTTCCCTTATTATTTTTATTTTGTCTATTTGGTTTCACTAATAAATGGAAGATATTGGGCTGCCGAGAGTTTAGTTCTCCAACCCAAGATAAAGGAGAGGAAAGATTATCATACCTTTTTTTATCTGACAAATCCAGTTGTTAAGATGTTCACAGTTAATATCATTCCAGAACATGCCAGGGTCACCTTTCAGCTCACCACAATATTCAACATTTTGATAATTATTGGGTTCTCCATAAGCCCAATGTTCATATGAAACCTATATTAGAAACATTAAATTGCAATCATTTACCATTTATGTCAGGCCAATGTCAATCATCTATCCAAACAGGAAGGAAAGAAATGTTTGCACTTTTATCCATTTACTTTTTTTTCACGATAGTTGTGCTTTGAAAGCAAGGTTTATAAACATGGATGGGAAAGAAATAGATTTGATTAGGTGGAAACTGTGGAAGTTGAACAGAGTATGCTGCCAATTGTTATAGCATTTACTTTACTCTCATTAAATATAGTGGATTCAGGATCATGAAAGTAGGAATTATAGGTAGGAAAAACCTGCAAAAGAGCTCCACTCCTCAGTATTGGCAGTTCTTAAATTTACAACCCATTCTTAAGAGATAATATTTCAGTGTGCTGCTGCAAGCTTTCTCTTTTTAGGTGTCTAAGATAAGAAAACGCAAATAGTTCTTCTTACAAAAGAAAAAGACCTATGAAATATTGCCTACTAGGCTATCAAACTTCACCAAAATGAACAGTGGAAATAAATGGAGGCCCTGGATTTTGTCCTCTATGGAGTTTTCAAGGAGCCCTGGTGGTACAGTGGCTAAAGCGATCGGCTGCTATCCAAAAGGTTTGCACTTCCAAACCACCAGCCACTCTGAAGGAAAAAGATGCGGCAGTCTGCTTCTGTAAAGATTACAGCCTTGGAAACCCTATAGGGCAGTTTTACAGCAATGGGTTTATAGAGTTTTCGATGTTGCAATCACAGTCCACAGGGTTTTAGGTTGAGCATTATGATCTGTTTTCCAGAGACCTAAATATAAAATCCAAATATCAGTGGAGCCATCAAATACATCTTCTTACCCAAGTGCCTTAAAAGTTGCAGGTGGGTTGTAAGAGGAAGTAGAACTGAAATTACATCAAATCTCTTTCTACCACAACTAGAGCCGCTAAACATTGCCAGCTGGCGCCAGAGCTTCTCACTTATCCATTCTCTAGAATGGAGGAAGTCCGACAAAGGCCAATGGTTATTAATGGAATATCGAAAGTTGCATCACGGTCCAACGATCTATGAGATGCTACAAAATGCTCAATTTTTAAGAATTTTAACTACCTGCACACCCATTTTGCATTGTAGAATGAAGATACTATACTATATAAATATGAGTTTTCATTCAAATTTTTTTTTCATTCAGACAACCATGCTGAAAATCTACACCTTGCATGATTAGGAGAACTAAACTGGGGAAGGGGTGGAACCATGATTAAAAAATAGTTATTTTTTGGCATAGAAAAAATGTCTCTAGCTGTCATAATGAACAGTCTTTCTATAAATTTGGATTAAACCAAATGATTACTTCAAAATAAATACAGGATAAATTAAGGTGAACATATATTACATCAAATTACTCACAGGAGAGCCGTCACTCCAAGAAAAGCCCTCTGATGGATTTCCGTATGTCAATCCCAACCAAAACAGTTCATGGTAGCTTGAACTACTCCTACAATACACGAGACATAAGGAAAACATATGCATGAAACAAGTTTGGTAACCTTTGAGGACTACAAAGATTTGAAAGTTACCTCCAAACCATAAATTAGGACACAAAATAAGAGATTTAAATGACTAAATATAAGCATTATGCAGTAAACGTGCGTATTGGGAGAGCCCATAGATAACCTGAAAATGGGCAACTGTTGAGGAATAAATAATTGTAAAGCACTGAAAGATGATCATTCATTTACTCATTTAACAAGTACGTATTATGTGTCTTGCAATTTTATAGTGCAATTCATTGCTGGATTTATGCCTATGAGATTAAGGATGCAGAAGTGAAACTAGATCAAACAGAATCCATGAATTTCGGATATGATGCAGATACTCATGTTAGCATTATGAGCAAACACTTTTAAAAACATAAGAATACTTTCAACATCATTTGCACCAAATTAGTAACAGAAAGGAACATTATAAAGAAAAGACACTTACGTTATCAACCGCCAGATGGCTTGTTGTTCCTCTTTATTATTGATACTAGCTAGATCTCCACCCAGAGCTCTACAAAAATCTCGAGATTCAAACCATGTTTTCTTGTCATGTTTTCCTTTTGTAAAAAGCTAAAAAAAATATGATTTTAAGAGTAATTTTGCCTTCATAATTTATCAAATCAACAGAAGTAATTATTAACTTTTGATGAGATTTCATTTATAGAAAAGCAAGAAATTGCAATGGACCAAGACAATGCAATTCTCTTAGCTTAAAATCAATTTGTGAGTACAAAGTTCAGCAACAAAACCTGGAGGGTGATCTTGTTGAGAAAAATCTTAGAAAAAAATTACTTAGCAGAGGAGAAAGTAACTTAAAATTTTAAAAGCTTTAGATATATGGGTTAGGCTCATTGTAGAAGACAGAATTAATCTGGTTAAGTGTGAAAATTGGCATCAAGGTGGAAAAAATGAAGGAAAGTTTTAGTACACAGAAATTAAACATAAATGAGGAAAAACTTAAGGAAAATAACTTCTTCAACATTGTGCCATAGTTCGTTATTGTGTTTAGCTTAAACAATGAGTAACCCGGCAGCCTTCCAACACTTTGTTGGTAACCAGTTGCTTTCGAGTCTATTCCAACTCATGGCAACCCCAGGTGTATCAGAGAACAACTGTGCTCCATGGAGTTTTAAATAGCTGATTTTCAGAGGTAGATCCCCAGGCCTTTCTTCTCAGGCACTTCTGTGAGGACTCTAACCTCCAACCTTTTGGTAAACAGCCATTTGCACCACCCAGGGACTCCACTTTGTTGGTAGTGTCCTACAAAACTGCCTTCTCTTTTTTTCCTTTTGTTGTCATTGTTAGGTGCCATCCAGTTGGTTTCGATTCATAGCTACCCTATGTACAACAGAACGAAACACTGACCAGTCCTGCACCATCCTTACAATCTTTGTTATGCTTAAGCCCATTGTTGCAGTAAATGTGTCAATCCATCTCGTTGAGGGTCTTCCTCTTTTTCACTGACCCTCTACTTTACCAAGCATGATATCCTTCTTCAGGGACTGATCCCTCCTGATAACATGTCCAAAGTATCTGAGATGTAGTCTCGCCATCCTTGCTTCTAAGGAGCATTCTGGCTATACTTCTTCCAAGACAGATTTGTTCACTCTTTTGGCAGTCCATGGTATATTCAGCGTTCTTCTCCAACACCACAATTCAAAGGTGCCAATTGTTCTTTGGTCTTCCAGCTTTCACATGCATATGAGGTGACTGAAAACACCATGGCTTGGGTCTCAGACTTCAAGGTGACATCTTTGCTTTTCAACACTTTAAAGAGGTCTTTTGCAGTAGATTTGCCCAGTGCAATGCATCTTTTGATTTCTTGACTGCTGCTTCCATGGGTGTTGATTGTGGATCCAAGTAAAATGAAATCCTTGACAACTTCAATCTCTGTTTATCATGATGTTGCTTATTGGTCCAGTTGTGAGGATTTTTGTTTTTTTTTATGTTGAGGTGTAATCCATACTGAAGGCTGTGATCTTTGATCTTCATCAATAAGAGCTTTAAGTCCTCTTCACTTCAGCAAGCAAGGCTGTGTCATCTACATAACGCAGGTTGTTAATGAGTCTTCCTCCAATCCTGATGCCCCGTTCTTCTTCATATAGTCCACCTTCTCAGATTATTTGCTCAGCATACAGATTGAATAAGTCTGGTGAAAGGATACAACCCTGAAGCACACCTTTCCTGACTTTAATACATGCAGTACCCCCTTGTTCTGTTCGAACAACTGCCTCTTGATCTATGTACAGGTTCCTCAACAGCACAATTAAGTGTTCTGGAATTCCCATTCTTCACAGTGTTATCCATAATTTGTTGTGATCCACAAAGTCGAATGCCTTTGCATAGTCAGTAAAACACAGGTAAACATCTTTCTGCTATTCTCTGCTTTCAGCCAGAATCCATCTGACATCAGCAATGATATCTATGGTTCCACGTCCTCTTCTGAACCCAGCTTGAATTTCTGGCAGTTCCCTGTCGATAGACTGCTGCAGCTGCTTTTGAATGATCTACAAAATTTTGCTTGCGTGTGATATTAATGATATTGTTCAATAGTTTCTGCATTTGGTTGAATCCCCTTTCTTAGGAATAGGCATAAATATGGGTATCTTTCAGTTGGTTGGTCAAATTTCTTGGCATAGAGGAGTGAGCACTTCCAGCGTTGAATCCGTTTGTTGAAACATCTTAATTGGTATTCTGTCAATTCCTGGAGCCTTGTTTTTCACCCAATGCCTTTAGTGCAGCTTGGACTTCTTCCTTCGGTACCATCGGTTCCTGATCACGTTACCTCCTGAAATGGTTGAACATCAATCAATTCTTTTTGGGACAGTAACTCTGTGTACTCCTTCCATTTTCTTTTGATGCTTTTCTCTTTGTCTTTATCTTCATCAGTCAGTTCTTCAAATCCTCTTTTTTAGCAAGCAAAATTGTGTCATCTGCATATCGAAGGTTGTTAATGAGACTTCCTCCAATCCCGATGCCAAGTTCTTCTTCTTCATATAATCCAGCTTCTCGGATTTTTTGCTTAGCATAATCCCATCATCATAGCCTAGTGGAAAAGGGGATTTGTTTCCCAGTGGACTATGACTGCCAAGCTGTCATCAAGCAAACTGAGGCAACCTTTACCTCAATTCTCACTTGAGCTATGCAGACAAAGTTACCCTTAGCACGTTTCCACATCACTAACTCCAAAGATTCTGTAGAGCACCTCAACTTGCTAGACTCTGGGTATAAAATTTTATTTTGTTAAATAAAATTTACTATCATCTGAATTTTGTTAATAATTCCCACATTCTGATTATTTACAAAGATGGTCTATATAAGTCCAAGCAAACTCAAAAGCACCCCCCAAAACCAAACTCATTGCTGTCAAGTCAATTCTGACTCACAGTGACCCTATAGGACAGAGCAGAACTGCCCCATAGTGTTTTCAGGAGTGGCTGGTAGATTCGAACTGTTGACCTTTTGGTTAGCAGCCAACTCTTAACCACCATGCAACCAGAGCCCCCAAAAGCACGCTAAGCACCTCTAAAACATGATTTCTTGTGAAGCACATATTTTGATTTGTTGAGTGTCTCCCTGGATAGTGTCTTACTGGAACCCTTGGTTTACTTCCTAGCTCTGGAGAACTCTGCTGCTTCTCTCAAACACCTCCAACAAATCTCCATAGCCTACCACTGTCAGACTAATGGCTGTGTATTATATGAACTTGACTTTTGTGTAACTCAACCATTTCCAAAGGTAACAATAAAGTACCTGATTTTCTTTTTTTTTTGCCATGTCAACATTTTTTACACATACAATTCAATGACATGTTGTGCAACCATCACTACTGTCCGTTTCCAAATTTTTCTATCCTCCTAAACAGAAGCTCAGTGTCCCATAGGCAGGTAGTCCCCCTTTTCCCTTCCCTGCCTCCAGTCCCCGGTAACCACTAATAAATGTCGGGCTCTATACACTTGCCTATCCTAGATATTTCATATACGTGGGAATGGGATTATACAATATTTGTCCCTTTGTGACAGACTTATTTCACTCAACATAATGTTTCCAAGGTTCATTTGTGTTGTAGCATGTATCAGGACTTCATTTTTCTTTATGAAAGAGATCTGCTTTTTGTTAGTCCTCAAATAAACCATTTATAAAAATCCATCCTGTATTAGCCCAATACATCCCATTCTATGTAAATTAACTTTACCTTTGACTGGCCTTTCTGCATTGAACAGCTCATGGATTTCTTATTGTTACTAGTGGGAGTGATCAACCCAACAAGTAGCCACATCCCTGTTGAGCTGAAGAAGACGGAACAACCTCATTCGGATGCAAGTTAGTAATTCAAGTTCTTCTTTATCAGCTTTGACTAGCTGTCTTACAAGGCATGCCATAGCCATATGTCATTCAAAGGGCTTGAAGAAAAGGAAGTCCAGAGAACAGGACTATTAAAGAATAATATTATTTAGCAGAAAATGAGCACATTTCTGTCTTTTGCTAAGTATAACCTTCTCTAGAAAAAGATATAACTTACAAGAGAGAAAAAAGACCCAAATGCTTGATTCATTCCGTATTTTGTTTGTTTTTGTGTTTCTATTTTTGTTTTTGTTTTGTTTTGTTTCTATTTTTGATTGTCTCGTTGTTTGGTTATTTTGGTGAACTTGATTGCATACAGAGAAAATGGACAGTCTGGCCCAGGAACGTATAAAATAATAGTAGAATGTCTACTTGTCATTTGAAGGGCACTGAAAGGCCATGTGCCTTTATCTATCAATGCTTTAATCTCCCACCATTCTGATAATCATGAGTTAAATCAGAAAAAAATGGAACATTATCTCTTGAATGCCTAGGTTGTATCACTGGAGATTAGCTTATCAACTAAGTTGGCTAAAAGCTTGGGATCCGACAGCAAGACAAACATGAGATACTATAGGACAGCATAACAGGCAACAGAAATTTTCATCCAGATGAAAAGAAGTGTGAGCTCAGACTAGGACAAAAAAGCCTAGGACAAAGAAGAGAAGCAGAGAAGGGGTGATAAAGGCAAAGCAGGTGAAGAAAGCCTTCTGGTAGTTCTTGTTCCGCTTGTGCTTGTTGGCCTAAATGCAACGGTTCTCAACCTTGACTGGTCATTAGCATTCGCCCGAGCAAGGAGCTCTTTAAAAATTTTTGATGCCCAGGCCCCCTCCAGACCAATAAAATCAGAATTTCTAGGGGTTTAGCCTGGACATTGTTTTTGTTGTTACTTTTAAATTCCTTAGGTGATTCCTTAGTCTAAAGTATATTCCAAACTCTTCCTTATCTTTACAATTGATCCTTACCTTGAAACACAAGCTTGATTTACCGGTGGTGCCCCAATCCTCTGGACATTTGGGTTCAGGAGTGGTGGTAGGCTCTGGTGGGCGAGTTACTCCTTCTGCCCAGTGTTTACACACAAATTTTGCCTTCTCATCACATTTCAAAACATCCCATAGTCCCCCTGCAATCCCCGTTCTCATGGCAACACACCCTGCCTTTCGTCCTGCACAGAAAGCACAAGGTGGGATTCATTAAACTGGTGCTTGCTAAAGGCCTACCATGCT